GCCACCTGCAGAGCAGTCATTACTAGGTCAGAACAACAAAGGGCGTAAATGGGGAGGACAAGGGTGGCCAGTTCCGGCTTGTTAGTCATCAATGTATGGCGACCACCAACGAGGTTCTAGACTGGGGTTCGAAAATCAGAGTTGGTGGGCAAAGTTTTCCAAACGCCCATACCATGTCATATATTATTTGCAATTGCAACCGTCAAATGACGGATCCGTGGCTACAGGCTAGAGCATAATTCACGCCTTAAACCAAAGAGGTCCGATCCAAATTCTGGGCAAACCAATATTTGCGTCGGTATTTGGCTAGCTGGCAGCAATTAATAGACCTTTGCTTCTGCTCAGCAATAAGGGCTTTTTTGTAAAAGAATGTAAAGAGCTTTCGAGATATCATTCCTTTTGAATTATTTGGAGTATGTTCCAGACTACCACAAATTTAAATTCTCATCATTTAATTTGACCCGGATTTTCTGAGGAATCCTCCCTGCCCAATTCACTACTCAATGTTATATCAGCTTCTTGTTTTAAAGGCGAATTCAGGAATATTGTTTGATGCACAGACATGATTGTAAACGTCGTCTGCTTACAAAGCTAAAGGCTAACTGTTCCCTTATTCGTCTAGAAATTTTTTTAGACTAATGAAGTAGGATTTTGCCAAAGCGTAGCATCGCCTTTTTGGTCTTAAGAATTGAGAAGGATGTTCCAGGTCCCGATGAATGTAGGAGAAATAAAGACTTAGACTTTTTGTGTACCGGAACCATTTGTTCCTTCTTCGGAAGTTTCTGACTTTTGTCCATCATCAGAGCTGACAGTATCGCCAGATATTAGCCGATCGGCGGTCATTGACGCCTGGAGATGACTGGCCAGGGCTCTGCCTGTCGACGCCTAATGTATACATTGATTGACTTGGTTCTCAACCGAAGCTCAGGCTTCAATCAATCCGCAGTTCGTCTTGCTCCCAGTCTGGGCAATTATCTTTGTGGCAGCGAAGTCAAACTACTAGCTCTTCGCATAACATTAAGCAGCCACTTGCAATTAACAGTCATTCCATCATCCAGGAAGCTTATGTTGGTGCGTTGACGATCAGAGCGTGCGTTTTCACCGACCTGTGTATTAACATGGTCAGTTTGTGCACTGAATGCGGTACACTACCCCAGACGGCTTCTTAGAGCTTTATCTATTCTTGAGCTTCATTAACCCGCTAAGTATGGTGTGCACCGTACTCCTGGTGGCACTTCTGTTCGGATGCTCCAGAGCCGACTAGACTAGCCCGGCCTTCAGATAGTCCCTCGGCATAGATTGGTCGCAGAGTTATTGGGCACTGCATCTGACTACTGTACGAGTTTAAAAGGCCGGAATAATTAATTTTTCAGGTGCCTGACCAATCATTATAATGTTTTGAGGTATACACGCAACATAAAAAGTATTCTTCCCTCTACTTACTATTTATGCCTCATTTCCATGTTCTGTTACCCTTTTTAAAGAGGATTAATAACTTAGTTACGTTAGCCTGCAGATATTTTTTACGCAACGCCATACTGAAACAGACAGTGCGCCATCCTGGTTTCCTGTGGTTAATGCGCTGCTAACTTCAGTGCCATGGGAGACTCTATGAAGGCGCATTTCACTCAGGGAGAAATAAACGGTAAAATGCCGAAACTGATAAAACGCCACTGGAAAAATTAAAAATCACATAAATTTCTTCGTACACGTCTCATTAAAATAAAGTGGCCGAAAGTATGCCACATATAATGACGACAAGAGTGTTGTGCACTTAATGAGAAAACGCTGTTTCGCGTAAAGAAAGGATGTCTCATTTACAGGTCTCCGACTCCTTTCAGCTAGGCCGGTTTTTAACTGGCAGTTCCCTTGTCTCTCATAGGGCATGCATTGCGACATTGGACCGGAGAATTAAGCTAACAAAAGTATTGATACGGACCCACCCTCCTTAATTACTTTGACAAATCATTGTTATGCCGATGGTGTTCGTGGCTCTTATTTTTGTGAAGACCGTAAGACGTATCTACCGACCACTTGTTCGGCACTTACTCCTTTAACCTGCTAATTAAACATTGTTTTTTTAAAATGAAAACCTCCTGAACAAATAATAATAGTCAGCACAGTTGTTTAGGACGCTGTCCTGTCAAGCCTCTCTTACAGCTACATGCATGAATCATTCTATGACGAAGTAATTTTTGGATAAACAATTTTCTAATGGACCTTGCATTCGGATCGGTTGACTGGCCGCAAGTACTTCTACAGACGTCTTTGGACGTTTGTAACTCATTTCGGTATAGTTATTTCTGCGTTTGCAAAACAAATTGATAAAGTATTTATATAATGCCACCTGCCCTGGGACAGATGCAGGCATAAAACATTATCGAGAATGGGAGTCTGTGAAGACTGGTAAAATATAAAGAGGAGCCGATCAGTGCGTCTTATGTCTGAAACGAAAGGCTTACCAGGGGTTGAGCTGCAGGCCAGCGTGGTCTTTATAATAAGAAGTACTACGCATTTGTTTAAGGTCATCCTTTCTCTTTAGAGAACCTTAAAGTGTGTGCCCTGTTCGTAGAGTTTCCGACTCATATAGGCGTTTTACTGTTCCACTGACCAATCAGCACTAAGCCCGTCTAAGGTGATCCATTACTCCCAGTCCTGCATTGGTAATTTTGAGACAGCAGTTTTTACAAAATACTGGCGAAAGGGACGAGTAACAACAGGCACGATAGTTGGATCTCACATATAGCGTCTTTTACAAGGGCAATATAAATGAATTGAATATGTCGACATAGGATACAGATGTTTTCATCAACTCAACCTGACTCCAGAATTTTATGATGAATTGTAAGAGTACTTGAATGATCGTTTTTGATCATTCCTCTTAATCGCATCACCCTTTACTCGGAATTTTTTCAAATGTTGACACTTTCTGATATGCCAGTCAGTAAAAGCCTCTTGACAAAAGAATTACAGGAATTATATATTATGTCCACATCTACCTAGATGCCTAGTAGGATTCTTCTTCATTGATATGAAAAATATTTCGTAATTAAATTTTGAGTGAACTGTTAGTATTCCTTCTCCCGTTCAGTATTATTCGCTTGGTATGATTCAGAATTGTATAATTCCAGAGACTGAGTCATATATCGGCGCATCGTCCTCATAAAAATCTCCCGTTATTGCAGTGCATACATATCCCCGGACTTCGTGATCAATTGGAAACCAAGAACGAGCTGATTTAAACGTGATGTGGGACGTTATGCAGTGCGTGACAAAAAAGACGAAAGGTGTCGAAATTCACGAATGCTTGTTAATCAATGTCAGGGTGACACCCTTACATGCACTCAGTGTCTATATTAATAAAGAACGGTTTTGTGGGAATCAGTAACATAACCATATATCAGAACTAGTATTGCGCCGAGCAGGAAAAACTGTTTTTTCAGAAAGTCAGAAATTTCCAAAAAAGTCCAAAACAGTTGTAATTGAGCAAACTCCGGTTTTAAATGTGCAGAATATTTAATCATGTTAAAAGCTGAGTCAATTTGACTACACAAATAGAATAATTTTACATTGACTGAGATGCAGTTTAACAAGGCAGACAGAATTTTGCCCGATTATGTCGATATAGACGTTAGAGGAATAAATCCCTTCATAAGGTCACATGTTGTCAGGCCTATCGGTGAATGATACTAGTAGATTTAACATATGCAATTGTAAATGTATTATTTTGTGTATTTAAAGACATTTCTCGTCAGTGGAATTAATTTTTAATTTTCTTTTGTTTGCTTCGTGAAGCCAGTAGATCGGTGTGCGCCCATTCCTGAGTGAATAACTACCTCCCCTCGTCACTCAACGGACTGATCAGTTGTTGGGACTCATGTGAGTTGATCTCAGCCTCGTGGGCGTCGCGGTGAGGTGACGTCCCATGTTGGTCACATGACCCCCGGCCGCCTTCTCTCCTACTTTCTGCTAACATCGGCTGTCGGCCACGCGTCACTTTGCTCGACTGTCCTGATGGATTTGTCCGCAGTGACTCGAGCCCTGTGCGTAGCGCCTGATAGGCGGGATGCAGATTTATGACTCTGTTGAGTGTGCCAGTCGAGGGGAGGCCGACAAGCATGCTGGCTCGCCAACAATTACGACGGCCGCAAAGGGGTCATTAGTGGCAGGAGCCCACCGGTGGTCAATCGTGGAGAGGTCAACGCTAAACGGCGGCGAATGGTCAGGTCATAGTTCTTGCCTCGGGCACGAATACAATACCAGGCAGGTATCAAAGCTGAAGCAATCAAGACCAGCAGAAACAGTCAACACTTTACTCTGATGATGGAAACGAGAGGGTTTCCGATACGTCAGTACAAATATAACTCGGTCCATTAACTCGCCCTATCTTCTTCTTCATTTTCTTCGGGGAATGATGAACGCGATACAATATCTGGACCTCGAATCTGTACCCATATACATATATATACATATCAGCGAGTAGGGACGACAAAAAATGCGGGTAGATCGATGCAGTACTATTTCGGGCTTATTGTGCCTTTATTCGCTGCCGTCTCTCCTCGCTGCTATTATCAGTTGGCCGCCTTCGGCCTGGTAATTGGTTGGCAGTTCGTGTCCTTTGCCACACATACGGAGCTTGTTTGCTTCGTGAAGCCAATAGATCGGTGTGCGCCAATTCCTTATTGAATATATATGAGTGAAGATTCGAGGTACAGATAGATTATCCCGTTAATCATCCCCAAAAGAAGACGACGAAGAAAAATAGGCGATGCCATGGACCACACTTTATTGGTGCTGACGTTTCGGAACCTTCCTCGTTTCCATCATCAGAGTAGTGGTAGGTTGTTTGTTCCTGCTAGCTCAGAGTTGTTCTGCCTCGCCGCCTGTCTCGTGTTATAGGCATACCTGATACACGAACTCTGACCTGGTTGCTGGCGGGCGATTGGCTTAGGTCTCTCCGTGGCCGACCGCTGCCCCCTGCCCGGTCGCTGTTGTCGCTGCTAGGTCCGTGTGCCCTTGGGCCCTCCCCCGTAGTTTGACGGGCTGATCAGCTGCCGTCGCATGTGGGAATCGGGGTCGGCTGTTTGGGCGCGTCGGTCGTCTGACACCCGGCTGGCTCTCTCCCCCTGCTGGGAAGGTGACAACTGTTGAGAGAGCCGCGATTTGTTCGCCAGTGCTGTCGGCCCCGTCCGAACTGACTGGAGCCTCGTACGAAGCGTCTGGTAGGCCAGATGAAGATCGATGGCTCTGTTGATTGTGTCAACTGAGGACCAACTTTCGAGAACCAGTCTGGCCATCTTGTCGCTGGCTCGGCCGATGACGCTTTCCTCCTCAAAGGCGAAACTGTGCTTCTCCTGTTGTATGTGGCCATATGCCAGTGACAGCTTATCCTCGCGGTTGACTGCAAGCTGGTGCTCGTGCAATCTTGTGCAGAGGCGTTTGCCCGTTTCACCAACATACCTTGCACCGCAATCTTGGCAAGGTATGCTGTAGACCACTGCTGATTGTTCCGTTGCTGGTAGCTGGCCTTTGGGCCTCATTAGCTGCTGCCTGATAGTGGATTCCGGTTTATGGGCCGCCCCAATCCCAAAAGGGCTCAGGATTCTTGCTATCGCATCAGAAACATTCCTCATGTAGGGGATTGCGAGCCTGAACTTTGGCTTCTCATCGTTAGATTGTTCGCGGTTAAATGCTCTTCGGCACTCACGTATGAAGGATCGGGGGGTACCATTGGCTGCGAATAGGGAATGTAGGTACTTCACTTTCTCCCTCCTCCCGTCGTTGTCATTACAGTGTGTTTGAACTCGTTGGAGAAGAGCTCTGACTCAACTGCGTTTGTGACCGATGGGGTGGTTACTCCGAAATTGGAGGATGCGTCTAGTATTCGTTGCCTTTCGGTATACCGTAGTTCTGATCCCCCGATTAGCCATCCTTGTGATGTTTACGTCGAGGAAGGGCAACTGATTGTTGTCCTCCTCTTCCATTGTGAATTGGATGTCGGGGAATATGGAGTTCAACAAGACTTTGAAGTCCTGAACGTTGTTCCTCTTGATTACGACAAATGTGTCGTCGACGTATCTGGCCGAGAATTTTGGGGAATACGAACGGAAGACCAGTCGCTCCAGCCTCTGTAGAACAGCCTCGGCAATCAGTCCAGACAGCGGTGAGCCCATCGGTGTTCCCTTCTTTTGTTCAAAAGAGTATTAACCGCTTCTCGTTTTTTCCATCTCTCCTTCAGATCTTCGCACAAGGCATCTAACTCAATATGTCGACGGATGCATGACTCTTCTGAGTGCATGACTTCGAGAAACTCCCGACCATATATGTGTAGTTAGCTTGGCAAGAAGCAAGTCGTCTGCAAGTTCCCGTGCAGTGCCAGAGAGCGGGCGTACCCTTGCCTATGGCGAAATCCACATCGTGGGCGTCTGTCCTGACGAACGGCAAGAGTTTCTGGAAACCATACACGAAACTCAAAGTAAAATGGGAGGTAAAAAGAAGTCAATGCACAGTGCCCATGTAGCGGCCACTTACCGATACAAACACCGATCAGTTGTCGCCCATTTACTCGAGGTCTGAAAACGACCTGGAGAAGCGGCGTCGAAAATTTAACTAACAAAAATTCACACTTTTTTCAATGAATGTAGTTGAGTTCAAATTATATTTCTTGGTATGCCTGCCTCCTGATATATGTATGCGCATACATATGCATATAGAGATGTTTGTTTGTCCTCTATAATGGGCCGCTCGTTGGCCAGTTAGGTTTCCGGTACGCATTCTTGAGTTACGCACCCATAACAAATGCCGAATAAAGGGGGGCAGTGTAATGACACGCGCTATCCAAATTCTTCCACACCCTCCTCCGGACCCCTTGACTTTATATAGACACCAGATTGGGGTTGGTGAGGAAAGGGCGAGTGCGACAGATGCAGCGAAATCCTACTACTACTACCACGTAACTCCTATTTTTGTGCTATTGCTCCAGCCGACCACACGAAAGACTTCGCTGTTGGGGGTAGTCGATGGAGGTCGTTGTTTGGGACGGTCGATGCGAATACTGATTTTAATTTAAAATCTAGCATTTCTATGAGCCTTTTTAACAATTTTATCAGTTTGTAATAGGCTAGCCTAAGCTGGTCGAACATTTCCTGCCCAATACGTCCCCATAGCTACATGGCAGTGTTGTGCAAATATTGTTTGTTTCTTGTGGCTTCTACTGTCAGAAGTACTAATGGGTCTGGCGTTTCTGCTCTTACTGTAAATCGCTCAGAGCAGTGAGCGATTCAGTTTTGTTTAACTTTTTGAGCGACAGTCGGCTGATTTAAACGCGCTATGAAACGATTGGCTAATAACACATAAAAGCATTAATAAAAAGCCCGATTTTATAGACCATTACACTCTGGGAAAAAGGACTTGAGACAAAAGAACCATGATTTTGGCAATGTGTATAGTACTATTCATCATACAAACTGCGTTCGCCTGCAGTTCAAACAATCCTGCGTTTCGATCTGGCACAACACGCAAGTTGTTTTGCTCCTCCTTGCACTCTTTCGATTTTCCTCTTTTTAATCTTCCCTTCTGCTTACAGTATTCTATGTCTTTCTGCAGGTCTATTTTTCGAATCTCTGAGCACAAAGTATTTTGCCGACTAGAATGATGCTACGCCGTCGCACTTCACAGTGCACTATAATTTTCATTTAGAATCAAAACCAGGTCTGCGCCATGCAGGTGTATTGAGCAGCTAACACATATGCAGGAACTGTATATGAATTGAATGATAGAGGTCTGTATTTTAGAAAGTAAGAAACAGCCTTTAGAGAGAAGGAATAAGGACTACGACAAGGAAGACTATGGCGTAGACTTTTGGCGTAGCAGTCGTCGTCAGCCGGTCATATCCCAACACGCAGTTTGCATGATCCTGCCTTGGGATCCGAATTCTTTCGTTTGTAACCGTTGATCCAACGCCCTGTCAGCCAGCCGGAGTCGCAACGCCTGTCAGCTGCGGTCGGGAGATCATGGCAAAGTCAAATGGTCAGTTATAGATCTAATCACACTGCGTGCCGGTCATACTCCACGACTGCGACCCCGTCTGCAAATATGTAGCAGCAATAATAGGGTATGATTGGCTGACCGGACAAACCAGAAGAGACCAGCCCATTCCGTATCGATGCATATCGATCTTTATACAAAAGGCCACGAGGTATAATGGGGCAAGCAGTTTCCCTACTCTGTCCAGTTCGGAGTAGGACCGTACTACGCTTGTACACATCGTGCTATACATAGAAAACCCGGCGAACAATACTTTGAGCAGCTTTTGTGAACCAAAAAATAAACGACCGAAGGAAATGCAAATTCTTCATTTTAACATATTTTGCATTTCAGACACCAAACCCAAGACACCATACTATGTCTCACCAACTGACAAACAGGAGGAAGAAGAGGAAGAACCTGTAGCCAGATTTCTTGCGCAGAGTATTTCTGCCATGAATGAGTCACTAAGTTCAATTATAAAACAAACAAGAACATTTTCTGTCGTTGTGTTTCTTGATAGTAGTTCCTCCAGAAGAACCTGTGAAATGTTGCGTATAGTTGACGTAAAACGTTACGCCTGTACAGATCTGCGACTTCCGCTCAATTTCGAAATATGCCATGTAAGTGAACCTTTATTTTATTCAGCGAGTCTGTGAAAAGCGGATTTGTTTTCAAACAACAGGATGAGAGGTTTCTGTTTTTGTCAACTACAGGCGACGAACCCTAAATCCTTGGATCCACCGACAAAGATAAAACATGTAGCCCATCTCGTTGCAAACATTTCCGGACAAATGAATACCGACCAGGCGCAACCCACATGCGCCATCACTGCACTGTCCTTCAAACGTCCCCTTGAGCTGATGTCTATGGGTATCTCCCTACCCGTTGATAATATATCCCACAGTTACATAAAGAAAACGGTTTGGACAGCAATTGCGAACCTTGAGAGGACTATTCCTCTTGCATGCTAGCACTGTCAATAAAGTAAAGTACTCAGATTGTGCATTGTCTTGTTTTTGAGTTTATATTCGCTTCCCTATATTAGCTTAAGTGCGGGGTAAACCAATTTTCACGTACTAAAAATCGTACACCCTACAGTGAACCCCCGGCATTCGCGGGGACTCGGGACCACGGATACCCCCGAAGAGCTGAAATTCGCAAATGCTTGAGACTCCCTTAAAAGGCTCACAAATGCCCATTCTCGTGTTCAAATATAACTAAAACTATTATTCCAAAACACTTTCTTAGTACTTTAACTTCATCTTACACCATTACCCCTAGAATATATGCCTTACAGCTACGCGTGAACAGAACTACAAATTGAACGAAAAGGAGGTGTTCACCGGAAGAGGCGTATTGGAGGTCTGACGTTTAGAGCAGTTGTTTCGTCTACTTATCTTCAGAGACTGGGAAGTCATGCGGACAGCTTTCCTTCTATAGCGCACCTTGTTTGATGTGTGACCCGCCAATGGCGCCTGTGTGGCTGCACCCGAACCGCATGTCACCGCGACCTGAATCGCCCCCGCCCTCGTCGGCCGCGGAGATAGTTGACGGCCCTGATTTTCGCGCACCGTTAGCACCCCCGCATTAAGAACTACAAGTGCTTCTCTTATCATGATGAAAACTAATCAGTTTCTCCCTATATTCAGGCCCTCACATATTCTTCCACACACCTGAACGATAGAATGACAACTAAAGTCATTGCCTAAGTTTGGGTATGACTGGTAGTTGACGACTAACAGGTCTCTTTTGATTCAAATGGGAAAACCTCGCCGACCTCGGTGGGAGTCGAGCCGACGACAGCGCGGCAAGGGCTCGAGTACAAACCACGTTCTAGCCTGTAAACTACGAGGATCCACCAAGGGCCGTGGACTTAATCGCTTACGCGTCGGGTTACTTAGCCCAGTTTTTCACAGTTAGATTAAAATAAGTTATTTGTAACCCTCTAAACAACCTGGTAACCATCTAGTGGATTTTGGATGTTTTACTTTGACAGCCATGTTTAGGCAGTCAGATCAACACGGCCATGATTTGATGATCCTGGCATATCAGGCGTTTACAATCCCTGAACTGTACATCAACACACGGTCCGTTGGGTCCTTCACCCTACCGCTGTCCCTAAAATGTCAGATTTGGTGGATTCCATAAAATAGGTGGACTAACTCATGAAATGTCAACCAAAACTCCGAAGTGCGTTTTCGCTTCAATTAGATTAATTAAGTAGGGTTGTAAAACTAATCATCTGGCTGCGTAATTCTATAATAATTCAGTTACCTCAGGAGGTAGGCTTTTGAATGAACTTCTTTCCGACTGCATACATAAACTATGCTTTGTGAAAAATGAATACTTAAGTAGGCCGCATTTTTATCATTGATGTTCGATGCCCCTAAGGATTTAATTATATTTCATGCAAAGCATGCATGAAAATATTCATTCTTTTGCTCATTCGGTAGAAAATGACGTTTTCTTCCAAATTTACCCTGAAAGCAAGGGTGTAATTCGGTTTTAAAAA